GCCTCTCTCTCTGTTTTAGGTCCCACCCCCCTCCTGCCTGCCACCAGGGACTCTCTTTCCTTGCAGAGAAGATGCAGACTTTGAAAAAGGGCATGGAAGGAATGGATGAAGACATGGTAGAAACCTAGCCTGGCTGCCCCTCTGGCCTTGCTTTCTTTCGACCCCTTGCCTCCCTGGATGAAGGATCAGCCCCAGGGACTTTCCCAGCAAGGCTGCGTGTCACACCCGATGGAGGCAGAAGGCTGGAGTGTCTGGCTGGGGATCCTCCCCCCACACCTGGAATTTTGAGCTGAGCCAATCGCAGCCTCTGAATTGTTCCTCGTCATCCGTTGCCAGGCAGGGACGGTAAGCCTTTGCAACCATCCTGTCTTGGTCTAACCATCCCCGGCTGTCACCCGCTGAACATCCATAAATCAGAAAGGGTCCCAACTCAGGTGGGAGCTTCCTCCAGAGAAAAGGGTGGGGAGAGGAGATTTGTGGATGGGGGAGAACAGAACAAAATGTCCTTTCTAAAGTCACTCCTTCCTTCCCCATGTTGTTTGCTCCGGCGTTTGGTTTTCCTAAATCAAATGGGATTTTTGCCCCGTAAGGGGGGCATTTTGAAAATGAATTTGATCAACCAGTTTATCAATCAGTCTAAATATAGACCATTTACTCTGTCTGGGTGAAAAGGGTGCAGTACCTTTAAAAAGGCAAAACTCTGTGGCTGCTCCAAGAGTGGCAAAGGGAGATCTCCCTGCTCCCTCTGTTGTCCTTCCGCTGTGAGGTACGGAAAATCTGGATTAGAACCAGATTCAGAAAGATCACATCCTGAAGTCATACTTCTTCCTTCGGACAGGGATCCGTGGAGTGGAGTTTGTTGGTCTTCTCTTCTGCCCCCTCCCCCTTATCACCTGCAAATCTCTCAAAATAATTCATCTTGTCCCAGATTTATGCTGTTTGCTCCTGTATCAAATGTCACTAGAAATAAATGACAGTTTAATAACTCCAGTTGAGATGGAAAGGTTTGATTTCACATGAAAATAAAACAAATCAAAAAGTGAAATGAAGATCCAATCCAGCAAACGCAAGTAGTAAATTCGCAAATTGTAAATTTTACTTACTTTATGGAAGAATGCATAAAAAGACAGGATTAGGATTATACCATTTCCATGTGACTTCCCAGTGTCTTGGGAATGTCGTGCAAATGGCTGATGGTCAGATTCCAAAACATCTCCTGTATGGAGACTTAGTGCAGGGAAATCGCCCCAGAGGGAGACCCCAGCTGCGATACAAGGACATCTGCAAGCAGGATTTGAAGGCCTTAGGAATGGACCTCAACAGATGGGAAACCTTGACATCTGAGCGTTCAGCCTGGAGGCAGGCAGTGCATCACGGCATCTCCCAATTTGAAGAGACCCTTGTCCAGCAGGCCGAGGCAAAGAGGATGGGGCTTGCGATGATACCCAGGATGCCAGCAGTCAAGCCCAGGCCACAGAGCACCTTCTCTGGCATCTCAGAAGCAGGAGGGGGTACCCTGAGGTCTGGGGAAGGTCTGGCTTGAGGAAACAAACATGGTGGATGTGAGGAGATGCTCAGCAGAGTGTCCTACCTCTATCTCGTCCCAAAACCTTCTAGACCCTGTGTGTCCTAAACAAAATCAGTCAACAATTTATATGAGAAAGGAGGGTTCACCTTTCCCATGCTTTAGTTAACTGGTCAATAGGAGGAGGAGAAGGTGGTCAAACTAACTACCCAGCACCCAATACAAACAGTCTCCTTCCTTTCCCCTGATCATGCACTAAGCTTGCATGTTGATTTGCTAAATAAAATTCATTCATTCATTCATTCATTCATTCATTCATTCATTCATTCTAGTAACCTCTCAGAGCGTCTACTTATGTGTATTTAATGGAAACATCTGTATTCAAACTGATAGGCCTGATACTTGCAAGTTCTATTTTCTTTTTACTTTAAAAGCAAAGTCTGAGTAATTATTTCAGCTGGTTAAATGCCCTGGGGCTTGTTTGTGTTTGTGTTTTTATTTGTGGGGGGGAGGTACTTGCTACTTGATCTGCAGTCCAAACGTTTCTAGACTTCTCATTGTGCGATTAAGGGAATTAAAGATATTCTTCTCTGCTGCTACTACAAAGTCCACGAATTTGGGTGTCATCAGCTGGTAGAGGATGCTGCAGCTTGGTTGCTGTCAGAAAACAGGGCTCGCTTTGAGTTTTGTTCTGAACATAATCCAAGTTGTTTAAAATCTCTGTTTAGAATTTTTGTCATGGGTTTGTAGTACTTGCATCAGGAATATCTTTAACTCCTTTTAATTGCCCCTCAGAAGGCAGGAATTTAGGAGTAGGAATTAAATAGCATGTTATCAAACACAGAGAGAGAAAGAGAGAGCGAGAGAGCATTACTTTTTTCAGCCTTCAGCCTCAAGGTGAGAAAGTGGCATCTGCGGAACTGAATCTCCGCCCTTTTTCAAAAGAGAGTCGGGCCCTTGTTCCTCCTTTGCTGCTTTTATACGGCGTGCGTACGTGCGTGCGTGTGTGTGTGTTTGCTGCCTTTTGCGCCCTTCATTCTGTCACCCTTTCCCTTTCAGCCCCACCCTTGCTAAGCCCACTCCCCCCAGCCCCCAACCCCGGCTAACTGGATGCTCAGCGGGGCCCAAAGGCAGGCGTGTGGCGGGGGCGTACCCGAAGAATGGTGGCGGTGTGTGTGTGTCTTCTGATTTGTCTAAAAATGGGG